ATGATACCGTCCTGCAGATGCCGTGAAGTTTTCCCTGCGCATCCTCAGGTCACGTACCCACAGCGTCTTTCTGCTTAGCCTGCGCAAGGGCGGAGACAGTTCGACCTGTCACTTCTGAAATGGGAATCGACGCTCGAAACGAAGCTCGAAATCTCACGACTTTTACCCTTTCCCCCTCCTCCCCCTGCCGAGACACCCCTGGCAGCCTCTCTCACCCTCAGCTTCAGTTCAGAAGAGCGGGTCCATGAATACACTGCTCATCCTTGCCGTCGCACCCCCTTCTCTCTCTGAAGGAGTCTCTTGAGCCTTCTCTAGTGTATTCGTACGTGTAAGCACGAGGAAGGGGGAGTCAGCCACTTTCTCCTACCTACTAGGGAGACGTTTCGCGCGTGTGCCGGAGCTAGGCATACTACTACAGCCAACAAGGGTGGAGACAATAACGCTACAGGGGGTAACCACACCCAAAGCCTCGAGGAAGTTTCCCCTAATTTCCACCAGGAACAGTGGCGCGCGCGTCTCTGCTGTGGTTTTTTTTTTTTTTCTTCTTCCCAGAGCAGAGCCGTTGATTGTAGTGCTCCTCACTGTCTTCTCGTCCGTTTTCGCGCCGTACAGAGTATAGTGTAACCCCCAGTGCAGGTGCTAAAGTAGGGGCGCTGGAGGCGTTCTGTCGCAGCGCCCACGCTGCTGGGTTGCACCAGTCGGGCTAGTGGGATCCCGAAAGCGTGGGAGCTCCCTGAGAGAGCTTACGACTTCATCGCGCTACCCCATAGCTGAGCAGTCGTCGTCGCCTTATTCATATTGCCATACACGGGTACCTAGCAGTCCTTCGAGGCCGACCAAGGGTCAGGGAGGAGGAAGAGACGTGCTTTGGAGGGTCGTGTCCTCCTACACAAACTGCTGCAACTCCGGTGGTGAAGAGTGGACGCAAGCAACGTGCCGTCCTTCCATCTGACTCCATCTGAGTAAGGATCATCAGAGCGCTGGTCCGGGCACCGCCCTCGCACCTCGTTGCCCGCGCCAACCTCCATCGAGTCGAGGGGTCCAGGGTTGTGGTGTGGGTGTGGGTGTGATGTGGGGTGTGGGGTGTGCGTTATGGCTTTTGCCCAGCGGCAGCCTTTTTCTTCCTTGGTGCCGTTGCCGGTGACCGACCGTCCTTGGCCGTCTTTCATTCTGCCTCCCCCGGCCTTTTCGTATTAAACATTGCCTTAACCCCCTCGTCGACGCAAGCTGGCGCTTTTCTGCTTCTTGGAATTTTCCTCCTTCCGTGTCCGACCGTTTGCCGATTTGTTGTTCTTTCCGAGTTCGGGGACCTATTTGCCTGCTGCCAAATTCCGTCTGCTGAATGAATCCTTGAAGTACAAAGTACTCCGAACTAACACACGTTCTTGGTCTCCTCTCCACAGCAACCCGAGAGCTCAACAACACAAGAGACGGGCTTCCGCTTCTCCTGTTGTTTCTTCCAACTACATCGCACATGATGGTAGCCGCCTAAAAGCTCCTGGCCGCCTTGCTCCTCGTTCAGCCGTCGCCGCTTCCGTCAAACCCCCTGTTTCCGCTTCTTCGTCTCCCGTCATGGCCGCCAGCCACGGCCCAGCTCCCGCCTACTTTGGCGCTCCTCAAGATCTGTACCACTATAGGGGTGAACAGTTCATGATGGCGCAGACACTATCGGGTCCGCGCGCCTCTCGCGGGCCTTACACATTGCAGACGGCACCCATGGATCCAAAGGTGGTATTCGAGGCGATGCCTATGTCGCTTAACCGGCCTCGGAGGCTTTCCCAGGCGTCTGCCTTGACCACCACAAGCATCAACAGCTCTAGAGAGAGTTTAGAGACACGCTCCCGGAGCTCGTCGTACAGCAGCAACAGAACGAGCATCGACTCCAAGGGCTCCAGCATGTGGAGACCCGATTACATGTATCAGCGACCGAGTCAGACGGCGGTGTTCAGGAAAAAGGCAAAGCCCGGAGAGATCTTCGCGAAGCTGCCCGGTGAGGTTCTGGAACTGATTTTGGGAGAGCTCAAGAGGGCGCATCTTGGCAATGGTAGCCAGAGCTGCGCAACATGTTGGATGCGGGATCTGTGTTCGGTCAGCCTGACGGCGAGGAAATGGTGCAAGTTCGCAAGGGTGGCCTTGTATGGACCCTCCACGCCCCACGATGCGTTTGCAATGCTAACAGCCGCCCCAGATACGAGGACATCCAGCTTGTGGGAGCCGACTCGGCGTCCCAGAAGAAGCGACACAAGCTCACATTCGGCACGCGGATGATGCTCCTTAGACGGACCTTGAGGGCAAGCCCGTATCTTGCCGGTATCGTTCACACAGTCAAGGTCCCCAGCCCCCCGGCCGGGATCGCATTGGAGGACTATCACAATCAGGTGGCAGCGCTGATCATGGCCTGTCCCAATTTTGAGCGCCTCATCGGCCTCCACCCCCAGTATAACCACTCGTTCAGCAAGCTGACCCACGCGCTGTCGACTCGCAAGCAACTCAAGCACATGGACTGGATCGTCGAACCCTCCCCTTACCAAAGACAGCACCGGTTCAAGTCGAGCTCCGGCGCTAACGCTGCGGCCCCCACGCAACCGGCTTGCGATTACTCCGTGACCCCCGGGGACCTGCAGCCGTATCAGAGCGCGACCTTCCTCGAGTGGCACGCCAACTGGGCCAACCTTACGACCCTGACGGTCCACTGCCTCCCCGGCGCGACCCTCACCCCGGACAACCTCATCAGCTCGGCGCTGGCGCGCCTGACGTCTCTGCAGCACCTGTTCCTGTCGCGCATGCCGGTGACCTCCTTCAACGACAGCACGCTGCTCTCGCTCCCCCCCTTGCGTACACTATCCCTCATGCACGTGCCGGGTGTCACCAGCAGCGGCATCTCCGCCCTGGCCACTCTGCCGACAAGCCAGGCCATCCAGAAACTGACTTTGCACCACGTCGGCCTCGACTCGCTGCCCGCCTTGGCTCGCATCTTCTCCAACTTTACCCACCTCGAGACCTTCACGCTCGTCCAGGCCTTCGCCCCCACCCTGCCCGAGGACACCTTCATCTGGCTCATGCCGTACCTCGCCTCCAACTCCCTCCGCAAGCTCCACTGGGACATTACGAGCAACACGACCACAGCCAACGCCGCCGACTCCATACTCGCTCGCAGCATCGCCGCCGCCGGTTTCCCCTCTCTCCGCAGCCTGCGCGTCCCAAACGACCCGGAGGGCATCTTCCAGGCCCTCTGCCGCCCGCAGGAGAGGACCGACAGCGCGAGCGACCGTTTCCGCGGGCCCAATGGGCCCGCCAGGAGCTCCTCATTCCCTACACCCGGCGCCAACTCTCCCGTTCCGCTGAAGAAACACTTCCGCTCGTCCACGGCACTCGCGTCGCCCGTGGCAGGAAACCAGGCATACCGAGAGGGCAGCAACCTCCACGTCGCGCGGCTCGCGGCACAGGCGCGGCTCGAGGCAGCGCGTGCGTTGCCGAGGTTTTTCGTCAACATCGTTGACGAGGACGGCACGGTGCTCGAGAAGCACGGGCTCGCGGGGTTCATCGGCACGGTGGAGAGCCACATCACGTACAACCTATCGCCCGACGCGGGTGCCAAGGATGAGCGCGGCGGGCTGGTCGAAATGGCCGACTTGATGGCGGACAACGGCGAAGATGTCATCGCCAGCGGACGGGACGGATGCCAGGGACGGTGGAACGCGTCGCCGACATTGCCGGACAAGAAAGACAAAGACAGGTGGTGGCACACGGAGAGGGGCCGGTGGTACCAGCCCGAGCTGGCGTGATTTTCCGCCGAAATCCCCCCCAGGAATCTCCGAGACGACGGACGCGGGCGGTCCCGACGTCCGAGTACCCGAAACGTTTGTGTGTGTGTGTGTGCGTGTGTAACGAAACGACCGGCTTATGATACCTACTTCGGATTGCCTCGGGCGGGAAAGATACCAACAAAGATCCCTAGAGATGATAGTAGACTTGTAAAGTAACTAATGTTTATATCGGGCATTTTCATAGTAGAGCGGGTCATGTGTAAGGGAAACCAGGGCTGAAGGTGGAGGTGCAAACAGGACGCGACATAGTTATAGATAGCTCGGAGATAGAATAAGCGACCTCTCCGAGAGAAGGTCCAATTTTTGAACCTCTTGATGAGCCGCGCTGATAAGCATTGCGAGACGAGGAAAGGCACGTTCGTCTCGGGCACGCTAGTAAAAAAAAGGGAATGACGGAAGGGCAGTGGTGGGATTTAGCCAACCCGTTGCTCCCCTCCCCACCCCGAACGAATCGCTCAGGCACAGGAGGCACTTCTGCGCAAAGAGTGGTTTTCCAGATTGATGCAAAACAGGGAACTGGGCTTAAGCATCGTGCACGGCTCGTCCCGGAACCGTGCCTTTGATCGCTGTCGCTACTGTTGCTGTTGGTATACGTAAAGGTGCTGCTTGCTGTTGCTGCCTGTGCTCTTACTAAATACCTACTCAGTAGGGAGGCGTGCCCATCCCAGTATGGGAGGCGATGACTGCTGGCTGCTCAGTGCGTGCTCGACGCCGGACCGGTGGGTTTCTCGGTGGAGTCCACAGCACGCAATGACGACGGGCGACTGCTGGGGGGAGCTTTGTTCGATCAAAAACTCACAGAAGATCCCGTTTCCCTTCTTGGCACTTTTGCTGCTTCTCCCCCGCGCCCCCACCATTTGCTCGTTTAACCTGTACTCCGTAGGTAGTGTAAGTGCGCGTCTGCCTATCGGCAGGTACCTACGCCACCCAGCCCCACCTGACCCAGAACGAACGACCCTCCCCCCGTCAGCCTTAATGCAGACGACCTCCGACGGCTCATCGCACAATACCCTTAACATCCCGAATTGTTCATCTCAATAGTGACGACAACAAGCTATATTTGATACCCTTACAATCGCTTTTGATTTGGTCCCGCCGCTGGGCCGCTGGCATCTTGGGTACAACACCACAGATCCATTAACGACGTCTCTCGAACCCCCCCCCCCCCAACACACACCCGGAGAACCACCAACCGACTCGTACACCGGACCTGTATCTGGAGACGACGAAACATATCTAGACTGGCCCGGACCGGAACTGGTCAAGAAACACATTCGACACTCGCAAAGACCCCCACGGGAACGACCTTCGGGAAACCGCGGCAACGATGTCGGAAGGCAAGACGCTCCGCGTCTTCTGCTTCGGCGACTCGCTGACGGCGGGGTACTCGGCCTACGGCGCCGTCTACCACCCTTACTCCATCGCCCTCACCAAGAAGCTCTCGCGGGACCTCTCGGACACGCGGGTCATCGCGACGGACAACGGGATGCCTGGGGACTTGGTCTCGCAAGGCGCCTTCGCTAAGCGGTTCGAGAGCGAGAGTGAGTTGCCTCGCTGTGCGTTCTTATCTTGCATTATTGCCACGTCCTCTTGACCTTTTTATTTTTTTATTTTAACGAAGCGTGACTCACAGCCAATTCATTTCTTTTGCTTCCCTGTTTCTCCTAGGACACGGCAAGCGGCGTTGATGAACAGGATGCTGATGTGTAGCTACAGCGAGCCAGGCCGCGTACGACTGGGTCATCGTACTAGGCGGCACGAAGTAGGTCCACCATTGCACTCATTCTCACCCACCGCCTTCCAACCACACTTGGATGGACTACGAGACACTAAGACGCAACTACTAGTGACCTCGCATACAGCGTACCGCCAGAAAGGATATTCGAATCCCTCCGGCAGGTTTACGACTCGGCCATCGCCAAGGGCGCCAAGGTCCTCGCGCTGACGGTTCCCGAGTGCGCCAACCAAGACGACGAGCTCGACAGCCGCCGCCGCCAGCTCAATAATGCCATCCTCACACACCAGTCACCGGACTAGTACGTTTTCCCGCAGTCCCCTCCCGGGTTTCATTTTCTTTCATTTCTTGTTTCCCCCCCCCCTCCCCCTTCCCCCTTCCCCCCTTCCCTTCCCCTCCCGTGCGAGCCGAACCATATCCTCGGCGCATGGTAGCGGGGAACACTTTCTTCGATAACTAATCTCTCGAGTTCAGCCACGCGTTCGACCTCAACCCCAGAATCCCCTACCACTCCCTCACCGAGCGGGAGCGCCAGCGGTACTGGGACGATGGTCTACACCTCACGGTCGCAGGCTACGACTGGATGGGCACCCACGTCGCCGAGGCCCTAGGCGACCTCGTCGAACTGGAGCGGAACCCAAACTCGCGGAGGGCGCGGCGCGCGCGGCGCCATGTCGAGGAGGAGATTTGCTTCGACGAGGAGGACGGCGACCCGCGGTCGCTGAGCGGGGGGTACGTGTTTGTGAGGATGAGGGACTTGAATTAGGCACCTTGTTTTCTTCTTCTTCTTCTTCTTCTTCAAAACCCAAATGATGATAATGATGTACCACGTGGTTTATCTGTTCTTGAACTTCTTTGCTCTACCCACCGGCTACTAGCTTCTAGTACGCACGCATCTCTCTCTGTGCGTGCGTATGTGCCTGTGACGATTTGCTGTGTTATGTCTCCTTTTGATCGCATGAATCCCTTAAACGCCAATGACCCCCTTTCCCCCTTTTTTACAACGCCGGTGATGTGTGTGTTCAACGTCCTAGTACCTCGTAACCATCATCTCAGACAACCAAGTTGTTTTCCACAAAGTCCTAAACATGACTGTTAGCGAGCTGTATGCGCCGGTTGCGTGGTGCCGCGCACAAGGGAAAAACGTACGGGAAACTGCTTCTGCAGGGCGTTGGTCACGTTCTCCACCTCCTCCGCCATATTCTGCACGTTGGAATCCCATCGGCGCATCTCCTTTCCGACGACGACCTCGGCCCGGCCGCTGCCCTTTTTGCCCGACGCCTCGCCGCCCTCGAACCAGATGATCTCTTCGAGCTGGTCGATCCGGCCCAGCAGCCGGCCCTGCTCAATCATCCTCGCCGTCGTCTCCTCCGCCCTCTCCCTGTCGAGGCCGAGCAGGGAGCCGAGGGCCTCGAAGCCGATATTCCGGTACAGCCTCGACGCGCCGAGCAGGTTGTGCTCCACGACGGCCTTGGCCAGCACCGTGGACCCGTCGGCAGTGGTCGCAAGCTGGTGCGGCTGCAGGCCCTGCGCGAACTTGTCCACCTCCGCGGGCGCGAGCAGCCGGTCAAAGAACATCTTCTCCAGCATTCCGTACTCGTCCAGCCCCGCCGACCGCTCGTCCTTATACAGCCGCCCCAGGGCCCGGCTCCGCATGGGGCCGGCGGGGGCGAGGATGGCGCACTTGACGGCCATGCTGAGGGTGTGCAGGCGCTCCTCCTCGGCGATGGCCGGGCTGACGCTGATCTCGTGGTAGCGGCCGCTGGCGCCCAGGAAGTCGCGCTTGGAGTCGAGGATGCGGGCCTGCGAGAGCTTGAAGTGCAGGTCGAGGTCGCGGTCCTGGACGGTGTGCATGATGTTCTTGAGTTTGTTGACGTACGTCTCGGCGGCGGTGGTGTCGTCAACCTCGAGGTAGTTGCGGGCGATGCGGACCCAGACGCGGGCCTTGTCGTCGTTTGTCACCTTGCGCTGGGACCCGTCGAGGGGGATCTCGGCAAGCGTCTTGGCGGCGTCGAGGAAGTCCTCGTTGTTCTCCTGGGCCTCGGCGACGAGCTCGCGGACGGCGGCGGCCTGGTCGAGGAAGGACGAGGCCTGGGCCCCCGCAGCGAGCTGTGACAGGGTGTGGTTCCCGACGGCGATCCAGAGGTCGTCGTTCTTTAGGTCGCGGAGGGTGGCAACGAATGAGGCCAGCACGGCGCGGGTCGAGACGATGCCGAGAGAGGCGGCGAAGGCGGCGTCGAGAACGGCGGCGAGGTCGTCGGCCGCCGTGGCGGGGGATGAGAGGGTCTTGATGTCGGCGATGATGGATTCGTAGGCCGCTGTCTTGTCGCCCGGGACGGACTCGGCCTGGGCGAGCGCCTCGGCAACCTTCAGCGAGGGCGCCATGGTTTGAGAGGTCTTGCGAGCGGTGTCTTTTTTTGTTAGTGTGCCGGAGATTCGTGGAGGGTTGCTCTTGAGTTGTACGGAGGAGAAGAGAAGGCGTTTGAAAGCTTGTGGGTTTACCGTGATATCGCGGAGCAGCTGGAGAAGCTGAGCTGTTGGATGGCTGTCATTGGTAAGGTCAGGCAGGTATGGTGGGGTAGGAGCCTTGAGGGGCCATTGGGGAGGGGGTGCAAGGGCCACAGGCGATGGCCGGTGGTTATGGGGTTTATGATTCTTATAACAACAGCCCCGGGAAACACGACTTTCCTAGTATGTAGGTACAAATAATTGCCGAAGTGATATATTTCGTGTTCATGAGCATTGCCGTGATACACGAATTACCGTCTTACACGTTGATATCATCCAGAAGTAGAGCCCAATACATTCTACAAGGAATGAGAGAGTCGCGGACTTTCAGCCTTGAACTACAGGGAGCAACCAAACCATAGCGGGAAGCGACTCGAGTGAAGTACGCGAGCGCATACCGTAGCCAATGCACTAAGGCGTTATGCTCGGTTCTGCTCGACTAAACGATATCCCCTCGTCCCCCTAGTCCAAAAAAGGTCACCGTGAAGCACCACTTTATATTTTCATCTTATACGAAGAAGAAAACAGGATTTCTTTACGAACATTTCTGCAACCAGCAAGCAGACTCACTCTGGCAAGCACCTTTAACTCTGAGTGAACGCGTAGTGCAGAGGCTTTAGTCCGTAGTAAGCTGTTTTGGCAACGGAACTTTCTTGGCGGGTTTCTTCGGTCTACCGGGGATTTTGACCAAAACAGGACGGACACGCATCATTGTGTCCACCACTTCCAAAAGCAGGGATTGGTGGGATTGAACACAATTGTGCACGCATTAAATTGTGAAAAGCCGGGTGTCTCAAAAACATCGGCCCACCATCGGCTGATGATGACGGTCGAGCCTTCCCGGCCCAGATAGATATACATTTTGCCTCGACTGCACAGACAAGTTGGCTTGTTCTTCCCTTTCAACCATCCCCATCTTCTGCTAGTGTTGCAGAACAGTCGGCTTTCCAGCCTCCCAGTTGTTCAAGCTCTCCTGAATATTGACCCAATACCGGAGTTTCACCGCTTCCCGCTTCGCCGTCTCGATATCATCGTGACGGAAAGCTTCCTCGAGTACCTCCTCGCTCTCGCGTATGCGATCGTCATTGGCCGCACGCTGACCCTCCAGCTCGCTCTCGCTTGTCGCTTCCTCGATCTCCTCACGCGCCTCGAGCACAATCATCAGCAGCTCTGGGTCCTCAACCTTGAGTGTCTCGTCCTCGGCGACGTCGACGCCGCGCAGGGAGAGAAGGTACTGCGCGCGCAGCAGCGGGTTCAAAAGCGTCTTGTACGCCTCGTTGATACGCGCCGACGTTGCCTCAGCGCGCGCCTTGAGATCTGCCGGGTGCATGTCCGGGTGTGCTTTGGCCTGTAGCCGGAGGAACTCGCGTCGAAGGGCGCGCTGGTCGATTGGGAAGTGACCCTTGGGCGGCGGGCCGTCAGGGAGGGTGATGGGGAAAAAGTCGTAGTGCGTCGTGGGGGGTTTGCTTGCTTGCGAGCTGGAGGCAGCCGTCGCTTCGCTGGTCTGGGCCGCTGTTACCGGCCGGGAGAAGGAGGCCGTCCCCGAAATCCATCGCTTTTGACTCGTACTGCTAGTATCCATTCTCGGAACCCATCGTGCGGTCGCCACTGTCCCAGATGGCCGGGCCACCTTTGCCTGCTGCCGGCACCTCGCGCAAAGGCGAGAAACCTCTCGTGTGCCTGTCGCAATTGAAGTGCGCATGCTCATGGTATTTGTGTTGTTGCTTTATGTGATGCAAAACCAAGAACCTTAATTATTCGTGGAGTGCTGTCGCGATTGAGTCGTTGAACAAGTACTTAACGCCGGCCATGAAATTTACAAACGCCCCTGGGACAAACAGAGTGATGACGTCCCCGTAAAATCATTTGCCGCGCCAAAGGGAAACGCAGCGTCTAGCGCCGAGAGCCGCCGACATGTCCGAAGTCGGGGCAAGTCTGGGTTAACTCTCTCTCTCGGTGTTCTTTCCAGAATCCACAATGAGGCCCCCACCCCCTTCCCCACTGCCTCCACGGAACGCTTTACCAAAAAGTGCACGTTGATTCGATGAATGACAGACTCCGCTGGCTGTTCCCAACCCCGGATCAACCCCATGGTCCTAGTGTCCAGACGTACGGGGTAATTCCCGCCGAATGATTAGCGACTTAATACGATGATGTGCCCGCTCTGTCGGTTGTTGACGTCCTTCCATGTTTTTCATTGAGTAGTCTGTATTGTATTGCAGAGCCTTCGAATACTGACAAAATGTCCAAGGTTTTCACTGCTGAAGAAGGTTGGTCCGATTTGCTCGCCGCTCTTGTCCAGGCCAATGCTCATACTTCCTTATAGTGGCCAAGCACAACACCCCCGAGAGCTGTTGGGTGGTGCTCTACGGCAAAGTGTACGATGTGACCGAATTCCTCCCCTCCCACCCTGGCGGATCCAAGATCATTGTGAAGCTTTCCGGCAAAGATGCGACAGACGAGTACGACCCCATCCACCCCCCAGGTATCCTCGAGGAGAACCTCCAGCCCGAAAAATGCCTCGGTACTGTAGACCCCGAGTCTTTGGCGATGCTGCAGTCCGCACCCGCGAAAGCGGAGTCCCAGAAGCCCAAGGAAGGCCCACCGAGGCTGGAGACGCTGCTCAACATCGAGGAGATTGAGGAGGCCGCTACAAAGATTATCCCGAAGAAGGCGTGGGCGTACTACTTCTCAGCTAGCGACGACCTATGGACCAAGAGCAACAACAACAAGGCATACAGACAGATTCTTCTGCGGCCGCGGGTCTTTGTCGACTGCACGCAGGTTGATACCTCTACAAACCTGTTGGGCCACCATGTAGGAATTCCTCTGTTCGTGGCACCGGCCGCCATGGCGAGACTTGCACATCCGGATGGTGAGCGCGGCATTGCAAGGGCGGCGGCCAAGTTCAACGCGATGCAGTGCGTGTCGAACAACGCGTCGATGACGCCGGAACAGATCATCGAGGGCTCACCTGAGGGCCAGGTTTTTGGGTGGCAGCTCTACGTCCAAAATGACAGGGCCAAGAGCGAGGCAATGCTGAAGCGCATCAACGCCATGAAGGACCGCTATAAATACATCACACTTACATTAGACGCTCCGTGGCCTGGAAAGCGTGAGCTCGACGAGAAGCAGCAGTTCGAGGGCGCATTCGAGGTTGAGTCCGAGTCAAACTCCAAGAGCGACGAGGCAAAGCGGCCCGGCGGCGGCGGTGTGGGGCAACAGCTGTTCTTCGGCACGGCGGCCGATTTGACTTGGAAGACGACTTTGCCTTGGCTGGCACAGCATACCGACTTGCCCATCGTCTTGAAGGGACTGCAGACGCATGAGGATGCCTATCTTGCGGCCAGATACGCCCCGCAAGTAAAGGCCATCATCCTGTCGAACCACGGTGGCCGTGCCCTTGACACGGCGCCTCCTGCCGTCCATACGCTGCTGGAGATCCGCAAGTATTGCCCCGAGGTCTTTGACAAGATCGAGGTCTGGGTCGATGGCGGAATCAAGCGCGGAACCGATGTCGTTAAGGCTCTCTGCTTGGGCGCAAAGGCGGTGGGTATTGGTCGAGCCGCTCTGTTCGGTCTCGGCGCCGGTGGCCAGGCCGGTGTTGAGAGGACATATGAGAGTACGTACTGCGTGCGAGACGTGTTGCTGCGGACGAGTCGCTAACTTTCTGCCCAGTCCTCAAAGGTGAGATGGAGACGTGCATGAGGCTACTCGGCGCCAAAAGCGTCAGCGACCTGGGTCCCCATTTTGTGAGTTACATCACCACACACCTCACGCCCGAGACTTGAGTGAGAGGCCGGATGCTGACAAGTGCCCTAGATTAATACCCGCGCGGTGGAGAGAGATATTTACGACGGTGAATCTGGGATCGAGAACAATGTTGGTCTATGGGCGAAGTCAAAGCTGTAATACCCTCTTGCTCAGCTTAGGTTGGTGTTGTAGAGTCGAACACAAGACCATTGTAGAGGAAAGAAGTATAGAGGACTCTGTAAGTCTTGCGAGTTTAGGCTTTGGATACAATCCATACACACAGCCTATATTGTCATCCCGTCGGCTGGCCTATGGTATCGTGTAATGAAACCATTTAGGGGATATCCCCATTCGACGAAATGTTTTTCTTTTTCGGTCGTCTTTTGGACGCATTGGTTCTGTGCAACAGTCATTTATTCTCTCGGTCAGAGTAAGTCCAGCGGTATGGAACGATCCGAGAAGGTATTATGTTGGCGAAGGGGTCTGGTATGCCGGGAAGTGTGGTGAGAGAAACGTCATGGTGCGAAAACATTCAGTTGGAGAGTGGGGAACAGTGGAAGACCAACGGCGGAAGCAATGAGAGGAGTCGCCACGTTATAACTGGCTGCAAGGCGGCTGTTTCACTATAGGCACCTAAAGTAATCCTACGAATAAACTATTCTCATCATTTCAGGCTCTCGGCGCAAACATAGCGATCCTGCGCGAGGCATTGCATTTGAAACTATGGATATGCTGCCGAGGCTCTGCGCTGCTCGAGTGGTAAAGAGCACCAGCACCAATGGGCCATTCTTGTCATGAAGTCATGAACTCGCTCCTCTCACTGCAGCATCGATGAGAAAACAGATGCAAGATATCGAAGTCGGCGAGACACCCACTATGATTGGCAGCTTATCATGCAAGAGCTTTGCTTCTTTGAGGTCGACAAGGTATGTGTAGTGTAGTACATCGTATTGTACCCCGCCGTGGCTACCAAGCACTTCTCCACCGTGATGACAACAAGGCTTGCCAAGGCTCTCCAGGTTGTGCCTCCCCTTCTCCTTCTACTGTCTCTGCCTTCGGCCAAAGAGCGCTACTATGTCGAAATGAAGACGGAAATCCACGCCTGAAGTTGATAGGACATTATAGTCTCCATCTGAATTTGTGGCCTTCTTTTTATCCTCCTATATACGCCGTTGCTGGTATCAATCAACACTGTTAAAGACGGGACAAAGCCCGAAGTATGCAACAAAAAAGCCCCCCTTGAATCCGCTTATTTGCTTTCCAGGTACGTTTTCCAGCCTACTTTTTGTAGCTTAGCGGCCTTGTGCTCGACCTCGCGGGACATGTTGCTCATGTACTGGGCCATCTTCTGCTGGTACTCGAGGCTGAAAGATCCTAGAATCTTAACAGCCAGGAGGGCAGCGTTGGTAGAGTTGTTGATGCCAACAGTTGCAACGGGGCAGCCGCGGGGCATCTGGACGATACTCAACAGGCTGTCGTGGCCGTCGAGGTGGGTGGCCTTGACGGGCACGCCGATGACTGGGACCGTGGTCTCAGATGCCAGCATTCCAGGGAGATGGGCGGCACCACCAGCTAGACGTATTGTCAGTAACACAACGGGAACACTAGGAGACGCCTGTAAAACCTACCAGCTGCGATCAGGACCTTGATACCGCGCTGGGCAGCAGTCTTGCCCAACTCGACCATACGGTGGGGAGTGCGGTGAGCCGAGGTGATGTCGAGATCGTAGGGGACCTCAAAGTGCTCAAGAATCTCAAAAGCGCCCTTAAGCACACCGAGGTCTGAGTCAGAACCCATGGTAACTACAACGAGAGGCTTGTCCGAGTTACGAGAGCTGGTCTTCTTGGCCGGAGACTCCTGCAGACGGAGCTGCTCAGAAGAAGCGTCAAGGCGAGCCTCGCGCATGTAGTTCACCTCGTTGATCAAGGGCGTGGCCAGTCTCTCCAGGTTGGCGTTGGGAGAGTAGGTTGTGACTGTGATGTGGCCGATTTTACGGCCAGGCTTGGAGGACTTGCCATAGAGGTGGAGGAAGACATCCATGTTGTCATCGTACAGGGAAGTGGTAAGGTCGACTAGCTCCTCATGGGAGTCCTCGCGAGCGCCGCCAAGGATGTTGAGCATGAGCGCGCTAGATACGCGGGGCTGAAGCTTGATGGACCGCGGGAGCATGTCCAAGATGGAGTATAGTTGTGCCTTGTACTGCGACATGTAGGGAACACCCTCAATGGTCCAGTGACCAGAGTTGTGGGGACGAGGGGCAACCTCGTTGACGGTGATGGTGCCTGTACCAACGTCAGGTTTCACTATATCGATCCGATTCATCAGATAACTCACCGTCCTTCAGCAAGAACATCTCAACGGCGAAAACACCGCGTCCTTTGACCGTCTTGATGACATCTCCAGCAACCTGGCGGGCCTTCTCGCACACGTCGACAGGGACCTTCCGGGGCGGGTAGAACACCTTGGTGCAGATGCTCTCCTCGTGAATGGTCTCGACGGCTGGGTAAGTGTGCACTTTTCTCAGCTCACCATCCTCGTCTTCAGTCCGTACCACCATGACGGACAGCTCCATGTCGAAGGGAACCCACTTCTCGGCGTACAAGGACAGCTTGCCCATTGCCTGGATAGCCGCTTCGTAGTCCTCAGGGCCCCTGACCTTGAAGTTGCCGCGGCCGTCATAGGAGCCCTTTCTCGCCTTCAACATGAAGGGGAACTGAAACGTTCTGTAAGCCGCCGTCAGGCTCTCTGGCATGGCGGGGCCGGACTCTATGGCCATCTGCGGGGCAATGGGAAGGCCGGCCTTGGCGAAGTGCTCCTTTTGCAAGTACTTGTCCTGGATCAAGCGCAGAGTCTGCCAATGGGGGTGAACTGGCACCCTCTTTACAGTCCCCGGAGAGGTAATGACACCACGGGTCGCAATCTCCTCGAGGACTTCTGTGTTGACGTGCTCAATCTCGACGGTGAGGACGTCGCACATGGCAGCCAATTCCCTGATCTTGGCCGGATCTTTGAAAGAGCCGGTGACGTGTCGGCTGTTCTGGTTTGCCTGCTTCGCGGGGCAGTTGGCCTCGTCCAAGATCGCGATATCAATGCCGAGCGGCCCCGCGGCCTCGCACAACATCCGGCCGAGTTGGCCGCCTCCAAGGAGGCCGATGATAGGCTTCTTGACCATGG